GTCTTATCTATTCAGTTGCTAAGATACTGCTCTCGTAATAAATCAAACAGTGGGACCCTGCCCACCTCTTTCCATTTTTGGAAATGCTCCCTTATATACACTTACTTTTTTTCCAGGACTTTCCAGTACTGGAAAAAAAAATCGCGTTTTTCCAGGATTTCCATGACATTCCAGGATGCGTACGAACCCTGTATGACATGAATAACCAATCAGAAGCTCAGAATGTCCCCCTAGTGGTTTTCTTAGCCTTTCTAACATTCCTTATGCCATTTCTTTCTTTTGTACCAAGATTTCAATGAGGTAGGTTGTGTCTTTAGTCTGCTCCAAATTTCATATTTTTTTTTAGACCCAAATAAAGCTTAGTTTCTAATCTTAATAAATTATGGTAGAATTCTATGGTATTAATGTAGCAACTTATGATTTTTTAGTTATTCAAATGTATTTATAAAACCTAAAAAACAATATTTTGTTTCGTATCCACCTTGGTAAATTATAGTAGAATTCTATGGTATTGATGTAGCAACTTATGATTTCTTAGTTATTCAAATATATATAAAACCTAAAAAAAATATTTTGTTTCATATCCTCCATGTACAAAATTTTTAAAGGCTTAGCAACCTCCACCAAGCAGCAACCGAGAACAAAGGTCATAACTAGAAGAGATAACTGTTTGCTTTACTTCTTTATTTACTGTTCTATGTTTTAGGAAAAATAACTTAAAGAACTTATTTCAAAATAGCAATAATCTATATACATATATAATGTATAATAATTGAAATGTGACTGTATATTACAAAATACTAGTCGACTAAAACACAGCCAAGACAAGTTACTTTGTACAGACCAGAGGTCACCTTTATGTTATTTGATACAGTAACATGAGTGCACATGAGCCACATTGTTATAACTTAAGTATTGTTAGCCAGGCACAGGTGTAAGGTCAGTATAATAAAAATAATAAATATATATAAATGTATAATGTTATGAGATTTAAGCTATTTCATCTAAACATTTATGTTTTCGTGTTATAATTTGTGTTCATTCTAGAATGAAAGAGGTCCATAAAAAATTAGGAAATAAACATAAATTATTGGTTGTGAGATCAGTCAAATCTACTGAACCCGTACAGAGATTAATTACTGAAAATAACTGATAAAAAAATTAAGTTTTTTCTTAAGAAACATTTTGATAACTATCTGGACATTATAAAGATTTTGCATGTGAAAGTTGAAAATTTTCTGATGCATAAAAGTATTTTTAATCTTAAAATGAAAATTACTTTGCATGTTGGATAAGCAAGACTGCTTGGCCCGTGTATACTCAGGACAACCAGGGAATCACAGGTGAAGAGTCTTGCCAAATTCCAACATTATAAGTCAGTGATGACTAGACTAACAGTGTTTAAAACATAGTAACTTTGTTGTTAAAAAAAATGTAGCTGATAAGCAGTCATGGGTGTGAATACTACCCTTTTTCAATTTTTCATTTCTTCAGAACAATATTAACATCACAAAATAGTGTTCAACCCATTATGTTATTGTTATGTTACTTTAGATTGATAAGTGTTTTGTTAATAATTTTGTAAAGTGTAGTTTATGTTCAATTCCTATGTTGTGTTACTGTAATGAGACATAAGTTAGTGATAATATTCTTATGGTAAAATAGACAGCTCTGATATTAATGAAGATAATTTTGCAAAATCATTATAGGTATAGTTTTAGTTTAAAAAGAAAAATTTGTTTTAAATATTTTGTATATTTATACTATGTAAATAGATATTAGCATTTTAGTTTCTCAGAATTCTAGACTTAATCAGTTACTTTCTATTTAAAAAAAGAAAGATTTCCTTCCCAAAAGGACATTTTTTTAAAAAAAACTGAAATCTTTTCTTCACAGGTTAATGTTTTGGACTGATTGGGGAGAGACTCCAAAAATTGAACGAGCAGGCATGCACGGTGAACAGTCAACGAGAAAAGTCATAGTAACCAAGGATATATTTTGGCCCAATGGATTAACAGTTGATTATGAAACAAAGAGGTAACGTAAAGTGTTATAGTAAATGTAGTTTATGTATATTTTGTGTGTGTGTGTGTAACATTGGTTAATGTTTGTTACGGTACTATATCTAGTGTTTACATATGTGAGCAGCATATTCAAGCTAGTGATTAACAAGGTTGTCATGTAGAATTGTACACAGACTTTTTTCAACGTTAAAATATTTTCGGCCCACTTACCAGGCAACAATATTCCTCCTATTCCAATATTCATTCAAAACTAAAATCATAAAACAGTTATTTCCCAAATATAACATAATTTTAATAATTGGGAAATGTTTTATATAGATTTGCCACATTTGTAATAAGGGAATTTTATTTGTTAAAGCTCAGCTAGAAATAACCCTATAAATTGAGATTATAAGTACAATTAGAGGTTTCAAAATATCCTAGCAATTTTTGTAAGTAACTTGAACCTATTGTTATTTATTTTATATTACATGAAAAACTTTGAAATAATGACTGAGACACTTCCAAATATTAAATTTTTTATCTGATTTGAAATCCTTCTTATTAAAATGTAATTTATTTTGATTATAGAACAAACAATTTTTAACAGTCTATCTGCTTTTTTTTATGTTACAGCCTTATTTGGCCTGACGCTTAGGATGCTCGATTACTTTCATATAACTTCCCAACAGAGTTGTACATTTAATTGGCTTTGCAGTAGTTGTAAAATGTTAAAGTGCTCATTAATCACCCAGAAATCAGGTTTAAGAAATTATCTGATATATATATATACATGTGTGTGTGTGTGTGTATAACGTCAGCACATTAAGCCTATTTGACTTGTAGTTTCAAATAATTTTTCAAATTTTAAGCAAAACAAAATTTCATGTAAAAAAAGTTGACATTATCTTTATATATCTGTGTTTGCTATAGAAACACTTTAACTTATAAAAGAAGTATATGGCAAGGCATGAAAGAAATATAATTTGCACAGAATTGAAAACATTTGAAGCTTCACAAATTTTGTATTAGAATTTTTACCCTCATTTAAATTGATTTTGTCACAGTAGGTTTTATATATACAAGTTACATAACTTCTGGTAATGAAGATGGAGAAATAATGAACACTCAGTTGTTTATAAATAAATACTATCACAGTTTATTTATAGTGTTAAATATTTAGTCTACATTTATTAAGTAATTTCACTGTTTTTTTTTTTAAACGTCTTAGGAAGGTGGCGAAAATAATTTTTGTTATGGGCTGGACATGGCCTGTTGTTTAGTATGCTGGACTGTGAATCTTAGGATCCATGGTTTGCAACCTCTTGCTGAAAAACAAAAAAAAAATCATGCTTTGCAATTTTGATCCTGTGTATTCATTATAAGAGTAAAGGTTAAATTTTATTATTTTATTTGAGTAACTCAAGAATTAACAAAGGATGGTGTTGACTATCTTCCTTCAAAATTAGGGACAGCTAGTGAGATAGCCCATGTGTACAGCTAGTGAGATAGCCCGTGTGTACAGCTAGCGAGATAGCGCGGGTGTAGTTTTACATGAATATCCAAAAAACAAACAAATATTTCTTACTGAATTTTTAGTTATTTGTAAAAAAAAAGTTACATGCATTATATTTCCAGAGGAAACATTTTTTATTGATTTTGATAGGACTATATATACATTGAAAAGTGCATAAATTAGGAGGGAATCAAGTAAAACAAAATCATCCAGATTTAGGCCATTTGATATCATTTTGAAAAGCGCAGAATACAGTGGTCTTTTCTTCTCCATTGATTACTTTTATACAATATCAAGAGAGTAGTGATATTTGTTTAACATTATTCCTATCTCTGACCTTTTGTCACACGCAAACTTACTGTGGTTTGTGATAAATCAATATAATTTTGATTTTGTATTACCATGAACTTAATGTTGATTTGAAGGATTATTGAGATTATTCTTACAGTTGTAAAGTTGGTTTATATTATGAATGTGTCAGAACAGATTATGATGTTCTGAATGATTTATTGAAACTTGACAAACATACATAAAGTATATTTACATTTTATTTGTTTTTTTTTCCAGGATATACTGGGCTGATGGAAAATTAAAATTCATATCAAGTATGGATTTTAATGGTGAACATCGTCAGATGGTGGTTCATGGAGAAGTGCTTTCTCATCCATTTGCTCTCACCCTCTTTAGAGATAAATTATATTGGACAGACTGGCAAACAAAATCCATTCATTCGTGTAGTAAAACAAGTTGCTCAAGCGTTGAAACAGTGGTCAGTAAACTCAAATCACCTATGGACATCCATGTTTATGTAGAAGAAAGACAACGTTATGGTAAGTAGTTTATTTCTTATAAAATAAGAAGATTTTGTGTTATTTGAAAACAGTCGATCCTGTATCATATATATATCACTTGACAAATCAATACATATGTAGCATTCCTTGGCATTATAAAATGTTACATAAACGAATGAATAAACCTCCACAATAACGTAAGATATGAGGATTTGATTGATGGATGGGCTGGTATATTTTGTTATCTGTGAAAATTTAAAACTAGATGAAATTTATTAACACTGTAATTTACAAAAATGAACATGACTTTTTATTTCATGTGCACTGAGAAAGTAACCGGCCTTACCACCATGCGAGAAAGTAACCGGCCTTACCACCATGCTAGAAAGTAACCGGCCTTACCACCATGCTAGAAAGTAACCGGCCTTACCACCACGCTAGAAAGTAACCGGCCTTACCACCATGCTAGAAAGTAAACGGCCTTACCACCACGCTAGAAAGTAACCGGCCTTACCACCATGCAAGAAAGTAAGCGGCTTTAACACCATGCTAGAAAGTAACCAGCCTTAACACCATGCTAGGAAGTAACAACATTGATTTTCAGCTGACAGAGCCACTAGCTAAACTCATCCTTAATGACACTGAAGGATATAGCACTATTGCCAAGCCTGGGTAGCACAGAATACAGTCTGTTTAGTATTTATGAAAATATAATTTAGAATTTCAATGTTTTCAGTTCATTCATCATTACACTTTAATACAGAGTTATTGTAATTAGTTAGTATCAAAGATAAATATTAAAGTTCAAATTCAATATGTGCATATCATCTATTTATTTTGTTTCCTTCACATCCTCAATTTAATTGCATCTCATTAAAACGCATGGTGGTAAGGCCGGTTACTTTCTCACATGGTGGTAAGGCCGGTTACTTTCTAGCATGGTGGTAAAGGCTGGTTTTGGAAGGACTTTAAACTGAGGGTGAGTCCAATAGGGACTTTCATCCATGTTCGTGGCCTGTTGGTTGGGATGCTGAACTTTCATTTCTAAATTCTACATAAAAACCCACTTTTCTGCAACTAAAGAATAACAAATGAAATTATAAGATTGGCCAAACCCCAGAGGAAATTCTGGTCTCCCTTGAAAATGCCCCACCCACTACTGAAAAGTTGGACCTTGGAGACATCATGAGAATCAACAACCATGGCAGAGAGTTACATAACTGACTAGCAGTTACCAGCTCAATTGGCTAGACGCCACTGACATGCAGCCCTAAAAAGAAATTAGACCAGAAATATCAGTGCTCCACCTAAAGACAGCAGCATAAAGAAGTTGGCCAAAATTCTAGGTGGCTGTGGATTTAGCATATAAGGAACAAGTATGCATAACTGTCAAGCAGTTGGACTACATGCAAGGTCTTGAAAGATGAAGAAAGGAATCCTAAAAAAAAAAAACAGATGCCAGCATTTCTGAGGAGAGGATATGTTTTGGGCTCACTCAGTCCAGTCACATTGAAAGAACCAACCAGAGACCACCAGTGCCCTGTCTACAGCAGCACTGGTGATTTTTTTTATTTGTTAAATTTTACACCAATCTATTCAAGGGCTATCTAAGCTAGCCCTGTCTACAGCAGCACTGGTGATTTTTTTTTATTTGTTAAATTTTACACCAATCTATTCAAGAGCTATCTAAGCTAGCCACCACTTATTTTTTTTAAGTGATATACTAGAGGGAAGGCAGATAATCAACACCACCTATTGCCAACTCTTGGGCTACTCTTAAGCAATAAAAGTGGGATTGACCACCCATTACAATGCCCTCACAGTTGAAAGGGCAAGCATGTTCAGGGACGTATTTTGATTCTGTGAACTACAAATTGCAAGTGATAGATTGGCTTCAGCTCACTTTGGTTTGTGGATTAAAATAAGCTATTGCCAAACTAAAGAAAAACAAACTCGATATTAGTTGATACAGTATCATTATTCTTCACGATATCAACTTATCTGAAATTAGTATTGAAATTGGTATACCTATAGTTCTTAGATTCTTTAAATCTATATGTTGGTCTTTAAAAAGTCCTTCTTTTTTTGTATTGATTATTACTCTGTAAAGGTGTGATTGTATATTTGCTTTTATATGGAAATTTCTGAAGTTGTGTGTTTCTTAGAATTTCCTTCAAACTAGATATTGTAATCTTTGAGTCCTAATTAGGCATGAAAGCCAAGATTGTTCAAAGGTCACTTTTTATTTATTCATTTGTTAAGCTTAAGTAAATTCTAGGTCTTGAGTCCAAATTTTTTTAAAGGAATGATGGACATTGTTGAGCCCATTATTGTTGGAGATTCTTGACATGGCTGTTGGACTTAATAATTTCTGATACATTGAGCCTTTGTTAGACCTTTTATTTTCCACAGCTAAGATGAAAGCAACTATTTTTAATGTCTTTTTTTTAAATCAGCATCTAACAATAAAACATTGGAAATTTCACAACCTAAGAATGATAGAAATACTAAATCAAATTATAAAGAGTTTTTTAAAGCTGAAACTAGATACTAACTAATCACTACTTTCTTTATGTAGTCCCTTAACCAAGTCTTTTAAAAAGTGTAATTGGTTATAATTATGCTTTGCCACCTTGTAATTCATGTCTGAAACTTGATACTGTTTAGTTTAAAATTCATGCTCATGTTCATCCAGTTTGGTCAAGTATTTTAATTATGGGAAAGTTAAAAATTCAGGGGATAACAGTTATACCTCTTCAGTCTGGAAAGGGTTAAATATATTGTCAACATCTTTAACCTTACCTGTTTAATGCCGGTACTATGGTCTGAAAAACGTTCACTTGCTATACAGCCACCAAAAGATTTTAGTTAGAATTAGAAGATAGAATACTATTGCAAATAGATAACACCATCTTCTATAGTACTACCAGTGTCACATACACTTTTAAATATAGTTTTTAATTATTAGTATAGCATTCATAATTTATGTATGAAACATTTACCTGAAGAAGTGGTAGCTATTCTAGTTTGTTGAATTAATTTTTGAGTTTACAAAAAAATATTTAATTTACCTGAGTTCACCTATACAAGCATGGTTGTTCTTGCTCATATTTTTGTAAGATAAAAATAACAGTATAGCATGTATGTTGAAACTTGAAATGTAACAAAGTGACATCAGTTGCAAAAATTTTTATTGTTATAAAGTTGTTATTTTCTTTATTTTTGATCTATAAATTTAAAGATAGTCTGATACCAAATCATGTATAAAATAAAAATCGTACTTTTCTTTTTTACTGTTTTTGAAATATGGACACACGTATATAATTAGAGGGGTACTCACTAGAGTGCATACCTCTGCCATGCAGTGTTCATATTCGGCTCTTTTCTCACACTGTATTTGCTCCATAACTCAGTCAAAATTGAACAGATTTTGATAAAATTTGGTGGATATAAATAGAATATTAATCATTGTCCTACCAAAAATGGCCCATGTTCATTGATAATGATGGACATACGGACACATTTTTTGTATTTTTTTGTTGGTCCCCGTGTGAACAGATAGACTTTTTGGATTTTTGTGACCTTGCTGTGACCTTTGACACTGATCCTCCAAAGACTAATCACTTCTAATTTGGGTCATGGCCCAAACTTATACAAACTTTCGTCCAAGTCCATTCAGCCGTTTTTGAAAAATCCTGCCGACAAACACACAGGGGTGAAAACATAACCTCTGTCACCTTCAATGGCAGAGGTGAAAATATATAATTTTTTATCCGATAAGGAATAGTATAAAAAATGGGTGCTCTATTTATAATTTTATATACAAAGATATTTGATATTAACATTGTTATCAATTATCATAACCATAAGTTGAGGGCTAAAGTTAATTATTAGTAATGGGAATGATCAGGGCTGCAGTTATTCTTTTTCTTTTCATACTAATAATGCTTTTTTAACTTAAACTTTTTATGTTTGAATTTTGACTTCTGTTTAGTTATACTGCAGTATCCAGATTTTGTAGTCACTAAATGAGATTTCTTACTTGATTTTACTCAGTTGAAACTAGGTGTGATACAGACAATGGAGGTTGCTCTCATCTGTGTCTAATGTCACCAGTTCATCCATTTTATGCCTGTGCTTGCCCAACTGGAATTAGGCTACTGGAGGATAACAAAACATGTGCCTATGGTTAGTATTACAAAATAATATATATATAAGTTTAAGAAGTTTATCCATGTGTGAATGGTGTTGGTCCATTGGACCGAGCCTGTATTGGAGAATTAGTGTTTACCTTAATTCTGAATTTGTAATCATATATTTATACTAAAAATATGTCTCTGAATTTACTTTAGTCAGTCTGATTCAGGCTAAATAGGATGAGTCTAAGTTGATTTTCATATTTTTAATAAAAATATCTTCTTCATGTTACAGTTTTGATTTCATTTTCATAATCTTTAGAAGCTCCTAAGTGAGTATCAAAAATATCAGTAAAACTTTATATTTTATCTGTTGTTTTCTCTACTCTAACATTATATGGGCTTGGTCCACCTTGTTAGATTCATAAAAATATAAAATAAATCTAAATTACCTTTTATTCTTTCTAGAATGACTGCAGATTATAACAGAATATTACAATTATTTATCCTAAACAGCCTCAGGCTCACGAGTTTACAACTGATTTAATTTTATCTTATTGTTCTCTGAAATGTGTCTAACTACTAAATCTGTATAAAAAAGCTTCTAGTCACCTAGCAAGTTCATAGTTCAAGTTATGGTGAACAAAGTATTAGATTATGTAATTCACAAGCAGCTTTGCTTGAATACCTCACTGAGAACACTTTTTTCACGTAACTCGCTTTTCTTGTTTTGTAATCTAACCTAATAAGTTTCTAATCTTTACATTTTAGTTATTTTTATAACAACAAGTAAAAATATACATAAAAAAAGAAGAAATTTACTCTCTCTCTCTCTCTTTTGTGTGTGTGCGCGCGTGCTCATGGCCTCTAGTAAAAGTTAGCCCTATTGTTATAATGATGGTAGAGGTACATGAAATAATTTTTATTTAATTAAAATAAACAATTAAGAACAAAATATTAATCCTGAAAAAGATACAATGACCTAAAACTCTTATAATTTAACTGGCTTTCTAACTAAGTTATAAGTGGATTAAAAGAATTCCCATACCTGGTTGAGGTGATCTCGGCGATAACAAACTATGAACTAGATGCAGAATAACTGGAAACTTATTATGAGAATGAGCTAACCTTATATGGAAATCGGTAAATTGAAATCTTTTCTTTCATTTGGTTATAAATAATCCAGTAGCAAATGTCAGAGAGAATTCTTGACATTTATTGAAAGACAGGTGTGATAGGAAGCTGTAGCATGTGTCATTGATTTTTTGGTTTATATTTCTATAAGCCAATAAGATTGAAGGTTTTAATTTTAGATTATAAATAAGTGATTTGTATTAAACTCGGGGCATCATATACGAGTAGTTCAGAGCAAAGAAAGTTACATAATATAGAGAAGTGGAGATTGAGAATTTAGTAATGTTTGATTTAGTAACTACATTTTTATGCCAAGTTTATTCACATATATTGATGATAAACTAATTTTCAATGTAACTCAAGGCATCAGGTGCTTATGATGGTTCAGAATTCACATAATTAATAATGAAATCTTTGGAAAGAGTTATGCTATGAATAATATGAAAGTACGTAGAAACATTGAGTTATTTTTAACACTGTTGTTTACATTAACTTGATATTATTTCATGAATGTTACAAGGAGTTCAAGAACAACTACTGTTAGCAAGACGGACTGATCTGCGAAGGATTTCGCTAGACACACCAGATTATACAGATGTTGTGTTGCAGCTGAAAGACATTAAACACTCTATAGCTATTGATTATGATCCAATTGAGGAATACGTGTATTGGACAGATGATGAAACCAGGACAATCAAAAGAGCATTTTTAAATGGCACAGGTATTGCTAGTAATAGTAAATATTAATTATAAAATCAAGTATTACCTATTTCTGTTGTGTGTGTATATTCATATTTTATTTATAGAAAATTTGACTCAAAATATTTTTGTCAGTAACTTTAGATTAATTTTATATTAGGTGTGTTTCATTTGATGAAAGGTTTAATATTGTACATATTAATTTTAAAATATTGAGGGATATCAATGACACCCCTCTGAAAAATGGTAAACTCAAACTAAATGACACAGCTGTGACCTAAGGATTTTCAAACTTTCAGCTCTATCTGGAATTCTTCATTGATTTCTACACTTGGATATGTTTAAAAGTTCCTTTAACACTTCACATATTCAATGGTGTAACTTTACTTTGTGGTATTGTGTATGAAAAATTTTAAAAGGGTGGATTTTTGTATTTGAATGTAATCCACACAATTGTTTCAAAGGAAAATTTTAATTTTTCTCCATCCAAGGTCAAGAGAATTTGATTGACACTGAAATTCAGCATCCAGATGGTATAGCTGTTGACTGGATAGCAAAAAACATCTATTGGACAGACACCGGAACAGATCGTATTGAGGTAGCACGCTTCAATGGATCATCAAGAAAAGTTTTAATCAGTGAAAACTTGGATGAACCCAGGGCTATAGTGGTTGATCCTCCTGGAGGGTAAATAGACTTTTTTGTCCTAAGTTTCAGACTTTGCTTGAATTAACACCATCAAAAATTAATTTATTGTTTTCTGTTTCTCCTGTTTCAAACAAATTTTGAACATATTTAAAAATTAGTAAGTACTACCACTTTGTATAGGTGTTTCATTAAGAAGCTTTTGTTGATCAAATAAGCTGTTTATAATTTGGCATTTTGTTTTTGTTGTATTGAAATAAACACACACTAGATAAGACCACAAGACGTGGAAAAATAATGAAAACAAGTGTTCAAAATTGGTAAAACATGTGTCTATAACAAAAACGTTTTTCTTTTAAGAGATTACAGCTTCTGTTAATATCTCTTTTTATCATTTTTCAAATTTATGTTTATTACTTTTCTGTGTCCAATTTCTATCACTTTAATGCTTGTTTTTTATTCAACAGTGTTCCTTCTAACAATATTTTTGTTAATGTGCTCCACGAAGTACATACGTAATTTAGAATCTCTGTATATTCAACAGTTCTTTCTAAGCCTTTTTTGTATGTAACATGGTTTAAACTGCATGACGAAGGTCTTCTGTCCAGAACATCGCAAATAATAATATAGGTTTTGTTATAGACGTGTGTTTTACTGCTTTTGAACAGTTTTTTTCATTGTTTTTATTGTGTTGGTTGATTATCATTGATGCTATTAATAACTTGTGATTTTGCCAGTATGTAATTTTGGTAATTGTATTTCTTTTTTTACAAGATAATCTTGTATTATGAATAAAATGCAATTAACCTTCTGTTTATAGGCTTGGTCATTGTGACTGACCTTGTAACCATCATGTAACCCTGAAACTATATATATATATATATATATATTGTAACTCTGAATTTACTTAATATTTCTTCATACAATTTGGCAAGGTTTTAGTAAAAATTACAAGCCTGTTGTACACAAAAAATCCAATTTTTTTTGTAATTAAATATATTTGCTGAAGGCTTGTCTATGAATTTATGAAGTCTTTACTGAGTTAGTCCAAGTACAAGGTTATATTCACGTTAAGAATAAAAATAATTTTTTGTCTTAGAGGTTTCATATATTATTTGCATATATATGAATTCTAACTGAATATCAAAATTTATTTTACCCTTTTTTTCTTTCTAGAATGATTGCATATTGTAAAAAAAGTTACATATTTATCTTAAAATCCATAGTCTCCTAACTTTTTCACAACTGCTTTTATTTGATCTTATTGTTTTATTGCCCTTTGACCATATATAAGTACTAAACTAGTATAACTCATCTGGTAAAAGCATAGTGCAAGTTAGGGTAAACAAAGTATTGAATTATATCACACATGAGCAGCTTAAGTTTTCATATGTTTCTAATATTTTAATTTTAGTTACTTTTGTAATAATAAGTAAAAAATAAACATAAGAAAACAAGATATTTAGTACTTATGTGTAGGTCTTGTACTCTTATTTCATATATTCATTTTATTACACAAGATAATAATATACACAAATTATACAACATACTATAACTATTATAATTTAATTGGGTTTTTAATTAAGCTATAAGTGTTTTGATGTAGTTCCTTTGGCTGGTAAAATTGGTACTAAAGAATGAAACTATAGGCAGAATAATTCAAAACCTGTTGTTAGAATGAACTAGCCATATGAGGAATTCTGTCAATTAAAATTTTCTCTTTCTATTGGCTGTAAATAATCCAATAACAAATGTCAGAAAGAGTTATTCACATATTTTAAAAGATATGATGTGATAGGAGGGCATAACATGTGGATTTGACTTTCTGGTTTATATTTTAGTAAAGCAAGAAGATTGGATGCTGTAAATTTAGATTTTCTTAGCAGTATTTACATTGTAAGTGTGAATTTCTGTTAAAACTCGTAAGCTCAAATAGGGATGGAAAAAATGTTCAAAATGGCAATTTGGAGCAAAGAAGTCTCACATGATACAGAGAAGTGAAGATTGAGAATTTATTTTATTTTATTTTAAAATTAAGAAATCAAAACTTAGATAACATGAAAATTTGATTCATAATCCACATTCTGATGCCAAGTTTATTGACATACATTGATAATAAAGTACTTTAATTAATTTTTGAATGTCATTCTGTAAAGAGGTTTTAACATGTGCATTTTGACCTACCCACATTCAGAGGGTTAATGCACTGATAGTTATTCTAGCTATCCATTTTATTGATATGACATTGTTTTAATTTTTCAGAGTCTGTGCTTGTATCTTTTGTTCATTGAATTTCAAAACTAGGCTCATCTAGATTAGCTGTTGTTTATGATATACGAGTCTTCATTTCATTATTGGTTTTATATCTTTTCTGATAATTGGATGTTCTAACTTTTATAGATATATGTACTGGACAGATTGGGGTAATAAATCAAAGATTGAAAGAGCAGCTCTTGATGGAACATTAAGAGAAATTCTAATCAGCACAGGTCTTTTTTGGCCAAATGGACTAGCTATTGATTATGAAGAGAGAAAACTCTATTGGGGTGATGCAAGAACAGACAAAATTGAAGTATCAAACTTAGATGGGACAGATCGCCGAGAACTAGTGTCAGATCAGCTGCCACATATTTTTGGATTTACTCTATTGGGTGAGTAATGAAAATAATGACTGTTTAAACTCTCTTACAATTTCCCAAAGTGCAAATGATTTTTCAAGTATACCATAAGGAAATTACTAGGTGCATGTGTGTGTTGATATGAATGTGGCATGGGTTTTACTTCAAGAAAGAGTCTTCTTCTTCTGTAGCTTTTCCCGTATCTATACGAGGTCGCTATTTTTGACAGCACGTTTCCACTCTCCTCGGTCTTCGTAATCGTCCCCAACAAGGCCTTTCTCTCTAATATCTCCATCCACGCAATCCTTTCATCTTCTCCTTGGTCTTCCTCTCTTCCTTCTCCCCTCCACCTCCATATCCAAAACCCTCTTACCTATATAATCATCTTCCCTCCTCATCACGTGCCCATACCACTGCAATCTTCGCTCCTGAACTTCAAGAAAGAGTGTTAGAGTAATATATTGTATAATTTTATTTTTTTTCCTGTCAAATCTTCTTTTCTACTGTACCGTGTGTTGATGTAAATAGGAAATGGATTTCCTAGTTCTAACAGATATTAGTGTGCTTTATTAAATTTAATGAAATGGGTAAATTAAAATGATTTATTTTGTATCATTGTTTTAAAATAAAATTAAAAATTTTTTATGATAGTGTTCATATATGTATATGAAAAACTTTTGTTTGAGCATTTTTTAATGAGAACTTGCACTTGGCTAATGCTTTGTGATTCTGCTTATACCTATGATTGATGCTAAAGCAGAAACCAGACTTGTTAATGTCTATTGGCCTTGTTTCCTTGTGGCACAACAGTGAGTTTGAGAGCTTAAAATGTTAGAATTTGGGGTTTAATCCCTATAGTGAGCAAAGCCCAAATATTCCATTGAGCATCTTCAACCATCTTTGAAATTTACCAATGTTTATGGTAACATGTTTGCAAGATCATCACATCTTCAACTGATGGTGATGTAGCAGTCATCTTGGATAACATTTGGTTAGGAAAAAGCTTGAATCAAATTGTGTTTAGGCCAGGGCTTCTTCCTGAGAAAAGTTCAAAAGCTATGAGAGAATGTTTTGGCATGATAAATACAAGTGAGAAACTAAGTTTGAGATAAAGTTAAGCATAAATAAATCTTATGAGAGAATTTTTTTTTGACATAAAAAACTTATTCTATGTACACAGGGGTCTGGGTCAAAATGCATGTGCCATGACCTTGTATAGAGTGCCACTCAACATGGTATTATGAATTTGATATCTGAGTTAGAAATTTTTATTTTACACTATGTTGATTTCATGACAATTCTTGATAGAGTACAGAAAATACCAAATAAAATATACAGGGATACTGAAAAAATTTAGAAATTCATTTTGAAGGCTCTAGAGGCTATGTAAATGCAATATGCAAACTGAACATTGGACAAACTTGTATTTACTCCTCAGATTCACATCACCTTGCACTGTGACTTTTCAAAGTTTGAGTCAGTCTTACTCTCAATTCACAGACATGTCTTTAGTACAAATCGTTTATTAACACATCTGAATACTTGTGTTCACCAGACTTGCATTTTTTACTAAAAGTTTGCCATATTTCATGAAGATAAACATAACAAATTTGGAATTATAGTCAACCTTGCTTTTCCAAAATGTAGTTAAAATCAAGTAAAAAATAGATCAAAGTTAAAGCAAGTCTAAACAAATGTTGCCTTTCTGTGTAATATTATTTACTCACTTATTCAAGTATTGAATTATTGTACTACCTACTTACTAGGGAAAGCCAAAAGTATCATCTTGTTGTTTTACAGGCAACATTAGTGCTGTATGAAACCATCATCATGCTAGAGTTTTACTGTGTGTAAATGTTGACTTGTGTGACAAACCATGTGCTCATGTATACTGTTTGCTTGTGGATATTAATCTGATACATATATAATGGAGCTTGCATTCTTTTTTTTAATGCCTATGCACTATAGGCCTGTAAGCAGACATTTCACATGTATACAATATTTCATTATTTTTTGTAGCAAACGTGTTTGTCATCTTTACTGTTAACAAGTTTAATCAGACAAAATGTAAATAATCTTTTATGTTAAACTATTCTACCAAAGTAATGATACATATATGAAAGTTGTATGACTGAGATACTTACCGTAATAAAATTTGCTACAACTTGCTTTTACAAACTGTGAAAAAGTGCAAATTTACAGTCACTTAAGGTTAGAATTTGAGGCAGTTAACCCTTTTGCACTGGGTTCCTCTTTAAACACTTTTCTGTGCATGTCACTGTACTACATTCAAAATCTAATTAAATACCTTTACTATCAGTGTATGTGAATGAAATTAACTGTATAATGTATGTTATGATTCAAAGTTTTATGTTTTCTAAATTTTGGGTCCTTTATTTCAAAAGCAACCTTTAAAAAAGTACTTAAAACTTTAGATGTATTTTCAAGTGACCCATGAGCAGTAAAATTCTTTGACACTCTGTCAAAATTCTTTGACATTCCGTAAAATTAACTGAGCCCATTGCGAAAGGGTTAACCCTTTCGAGACAGGTCACGGGTGAAAGGACATGTCATCTCGTTTGTTGATTCGCATTCAAAATTTTATTGAACTACTATTTCATGAATTTATATCAATAAGTTTGGTATCAAACTGTAAATTATAATTCAAATTTTAGTGCTATATATTACTCAATTTCTTAATTTAAAAGCAAATATTAAAAAACACTGATAAACATTGATTTTTGTGTGTCACGTG